GAATACACAATGCCATTGAGATAGTGGTCAAACGTAACGTTATGATATATTTGGAATTACACTTTCTTAGTGAAGTACAGATTCTAGTACTTTTGTTGGGTTGAGCCCCATTCGGGATTCGAACCCACACCGTGCATACTTTAGCTCTGTGACGTGTGGTGTATCGTTGTTCATCACCATAACCGATATATTGGAACCATTTGAAGGCATGCGTGATTCTGATCATGCTCGAGGCATGCTGTCCACCATGAACTCTTTAACTGCCAACCTGTTTAATAGTGCTGGACCACTGAAGATCCCACCATGTTCATATGGATGGGGGGCGGTGGGGTAGCCAAGTGGTTAAAGCGTTGGCTCGTCACGCCGAAGACCCGGGTTCGATTCCCCACATGGGCACAATGTGTGAAGCCCATTTCTGGTGTCCCCCGCCGTGATATTGCTGGAATATTGCTTAATGCGGCGTAAAACCATACTCACTCACTCATATGGATGGTTCTTGGAGTTATCCCTTCCAGTCGAGGATTCTTCATAACAGTTTAGACATACTTTTCAAGGACAGAACTAACATTGTAACCTTACAGTGTGAAGAAATAAACTGCCTGGTTGTACATTTGGTTCAACTGCATGAAACGTATTGTACTTGATATATGCAAACTATTAATGGTGTACAGTACATCAATAATTCATACCTACTAGTGATCGGTAGGTATATTAGCTGCAATAGTTTCATGACTTGTAACGAAATTACATAATTTTATTTCAAAGTAGAAACTACAATATGTTTGTTTCAACAGAGTGCATTAAGTGAGTGAGTGAGTGAGTGAGTGAGTGAGTGAGTGACTGACTGACTGACTGACTGACTGACAGAGCGAGTATAGTTTCAATATTCAATATCACGGCCGGGAATACCAGAAATAGGCTTCACACATTGTAATCATGTTGAGATCGGAATCAAACCCGGAGTTTCAGCGTGACAAACGGACGCTTTAGCCATTATACTACTCCACCGCCCAGAGTACATTAAGTGTATCTGCATATCTGCATAACACAGGCCAGCCCATATCGCCTCATAGTAACTGGATTTTCTGTTATGTTTAAATCAATACACATTATTATTTATCTTCCACTCCCGTCTACGGATATCCCTCGCACAGCTGTTTAAATAAAGGTCGCGTTAATGAACGTCCTAACACATCATCCCGCTTACACAAATAATGCTTGACCTCATTTAGGATCGATATGTTTTACAATCGCTGTAAAACAACACTTAAAACACAATTTTGGTTTTATGTTACTGTTTTGAATCAATTTCGAATTCCCCAGTTTTGTTCATTTCTATTCCTCTTTAAGTGAGCACTTATTCGGAGGTTTTACGCCACTCATATTTTTCATTCAAACCAGGAAGGTTCATTTGCGTGACGATCGAAAGTCTTAACCACTATTCTACCATGTACCCCTTTACTATCTTTGCGCTCAACAGGGATGGCAAAAAACGAACTGTCACTGGTCGACACTAAGTGAGTGAGTGAGTCTTTGTCCGCTTATAGCAATATTGCTGCATTATCACAGCGGGGGACACCAGAAATGGGCTTCACACATTGTACCCATGTGGCGAATCGAACCCGGGTCTTCGGCGTGACGAGCGAACGCTTTAACCACTTGGCTACCCCATCGCCCTTCGACACTAAGGGTAGGTGCCCAACATACCACCACAAATTAGCAAGTGTCAAAAGTTTGAAAGGCGATGGATTTGCTCGTCACACAGAAGACTGGGGTTCGATTCCCCACATGGGTACAGTTTTCGAAGCCCATTTCTGGTGTCCCCCCTCTGTGTTACCGATGGAATATTGCTAAAAGCGGCGTAAAACCCAACTCACTCACTTACTTACTCCAGTGTCTGCTTTCGTTTTTGGACGGCGTACATCCGTGCTCATGCAGTCAACCAATGGGTTTCCTGGAACAGGGAGTTATTTACTGCGATATTACGGGGACGCCACCTCACTCTCTAGTAATGTTACACTTGAACATGTGCAGCTCAGAGCTGAAATAACGGTAATTATTGACTGCTAGTGTCTGCCCCATCCACACCCAGCGCCCTCGCGGTATGAACGGTGCGTTAAGTACGACCACTTCCCACAAAATTACCCCACAATCCGATGGCACATCAAATCTGAATCTTTTAATTCTTCATAAACCACCAACAGTGGTACGCGAGTTAATGCAAACGACACCCCAGATTATTTGACGTCAGTTATAGGGGAAATATAAACGCGTGGTTTGTCGTAATTAAAATGTTCACGTCGTACGACCAGTGCTGTTTGACAGGCCCTATATGAGATAAGTGTATTTTTAGACTGCGTAAGCAGCTATCAATCTCAGGGCAGTAATAAAGCTGCCTATAGATGCAAACATTCTAAATAGCCTTCATAAAATATAGTGTGTCAGGTTTTGCTGGATGGACTAGCTACTTTATTACTCCCCGACACGAAGTAGGAAGCGCCATTAAGGGACAAGGGACACTTTTGAAGGTCTTTGGTTTGCAAAGCAAAATCTGCTTTGTTTTAAAATGTGTTCAGCCTCCGGTAGTTTGTAATACTATTGGATGTTTTTTTCTGAGCGGAATAATCGTTTGCGTGGAGGTTTCAGAATGAACAACTGGTGTCCTTGTTGCCACCATTAAAACTCAACACCTGCTACAGGGTTATAAGTTTGAGTTTACGAGCGTGTGCAGAAAATGTTGACACCATTGACACAGATGTGGAGGTTGTTACTTTTCAAAATTGTGTTGGACGTGGTATGCGCTATAAACACAGAGATCGGTGGGCCAGATTTGTTTGACGTGGTATGCACTATAAACACAGAGATCCGTGGGCCAGATTTGTTGGACGTGGTATGCACTATAAACACAGAGATCGGTGGGCCAGATTTGTTTGACGTGGTATGCACTATAAACACAGAGATCGGTGGGCCAGATTTGTTTGACGTGGTATGCACTATAAACACAGAGATCGGTGGGCCAGATTTGTTGGACGTGGTATGCACTATAAACACGGAGATCGGTGGGCCAGGATTTGTTTGACGTGGTATGCACTATAAACACAGAGATCGGTGGGCCAGATTTGTTGGACGTGGTATGCACTATAAACACGGAGAACAGATTTGTTTGACGTGGTATGCACTATAAACACGGAGATCGGCGGACCAGGTTTGTTTGACGTGGTATGCACTATAAACACAGAGATCAGTGGGCCGGATTTGTTTGACGTGGTATGCACTATGAACACGGGGCGGTGAGGTAGCCTAGTGGCTAAAGCGTTGGCTCGTCACGCCGAAGACCCGGGTTCGAGTACAATTTGTGAAGACCATTTGTGGTGTCCCCCGTCGTGATATTGCTGGAATATTGCTAAAAACGGCATAAACCCATATTCAGTCAGTCAGTCACTATGAACACAGATCTGTGGAGAAGGTTTGTTTGACCCGGTATGCCCTATAAACACAGAGAGATTGGTTGGTCAGATATGTTGGACGTGGTATGCGCTTTATTCACATTGGAGGGTCAGATTAGCAAGACGTGTTTCAAGCTAATCTAATACACCATCTAGCTATCTAATATAACACCTATCTGCATGCATTTGCATGTCAATCTGTCTACATTTCTAACCGTTTGGCAGTTATTGACGACAAAAGTATGACACAGTCGAATCTTCGGTAACTGGATTAAAAAGACCACATATACTGCCGGGAAAATAGATTCATTTCAAACAGTGTTTGAAAAACTTTACAAACATTTATATAAAGACTCTGTAGACACACGGTCCCAAAAACACGTATGATATTTATTCGTATCAAATACATCACCACCGGATAACCTTCCTTGTTTGTTTCATGTGTCGCCACCCTCAAACCCGGGTGTTAAGTTTCTGTTGTCCGACAGAAGGATGTGCTTCTACATGGAGTGAGTGAGTGAGTTTAGTTTTACGCCGCTTTTAACAGTATTCATGCAATATCACGGCGAGGGACACCAGAAACGGGCTTCACACATTGTACCCATGTGGGGAATCGAACCCGGGCCTTAGGCGTGACGAACGGCCGCTTTAACCACTAGGCTACCCCACCGCCCCTCTAAATGAAACATGACGATGAATATAACGTCAAGATGAGTGATGAGTGAGTCTTTCACGCTGACTTCGCAGTACCACAGATCGGCTTAACAAATGGTGCGTATGATGAGAATCGAACCTTTGTTTCCAACCGCTTACGAATAGACGCATCAACAACCACCAGCCTAAACTATCGCCCTGACCTGACGTGCAATGATGCCTGTAATCTTGATGAAGAGCTAACAGCATTTGAGTCTTCTCATCGAAAGTGGTTGGAAGGGTTAAACCGACATTTTGGCACTATTTTCTGTTGACGTTGCTAACAGCTGATTCTAGCTTGTCTAACACAACGACTGCATGCACATGAAAGATGAATCTTAATCATTTAGACAACAATGGCGTCGACCAGCCAGAGGGTATCATCACCCATGCAATTTTCCGTCTTTGACAACTTTCTGCTCCCATTAACGGTCTTGTGGAACTAATTTGTCATACATCGAAGTCTCTGTTGCACGTTTGTATCTCTCCATGAAATCCATTGTGTATGTCCATTTAGAAAAAACACAAATGGCTAAATTTGCCCCAGGCTAGAAGGGAATTCCTAGCGCCATTTTACAGAGTATGGTGAATATTGATAAAATCGACAATCACAAAACGCGCTGCACGCCGTATTTAACCAGGCTTTCAATGATAGCCATACCTGAGAGGTGCCATTGATCGGGCGAAGTCAAGCTTAATGGCGCATAATAGTATCTTCAGTGTACGGGCCAGTTAGCATGATGCTGTGTTCACGCTGTCAGGAGTTTAAGGAAGGTATGCCAATCTCAATCTCCCATATATATCTCAAGGTTATCACAGCTGTCAATATCAATAAAAGATGTAATTTGTTAAATTACTTACCGCCTATCGAACTACGCTTTATCTCTCCCACAACACGTTCAACGCAGTATCCATCAATGTGTCGTCTGCTTGAGCAGCGATCGTCGTCTGCCGTAAGGTATTAACTTCCGGGTCATCCAGGTTGAGATAAAAATGAAAGGAGGTGACAAATCTCAACACATGTAATCCATACGTGGTTTAAACAACGTGTAGAAGTGGGTTATGGCCATCAGCTGTCCGTAACGCGCAGACAAGGGTGAATGAGTACAAGGCCAGGTGTAATGTGAGTCACTGTTACCTGAGTCTCTTTACAGCGTCCAGCGACGAGGTGATACACAATAGAATGTCACACGCTCTCTCAAGTATACATGTGTGGGTGGATAGCTGAACTGTCTCAGACTCAACTATACACCTTCCCATCACTGTTTGTCGAACGTGCTGATAAACCCTCCACTCGGTCCGGACACGGGTCAAGGTGTCAGTCAGCCCAATAGGATCGCCATCCCCCGATAAGCTAGCCTCGGCGATAATCCAGACTTCCTATAATCCACGTGTTTACAAAGACGATATATCCATGTCCTCAGATCTCCTGACCGCTGTCCGTCACATCAGCGAGGTGGCCCGGAGCACCTCGCCCGCCTTCAATTATGCTGCGAATGTAAATAGTCCGGTTTGAGTGGTCCCGTGAAGGCCAATTATTAGCTATGTGGAGTCCGACAACACGGCCGGTATTAAGGTGCTGTTTAGATTGTGTCGGCAGAAACACACCTGGTACACAACGACTTCACAGCATGGAGAGACTCCTAGCATTACCTGAATCTCGAGCCTTTGTTCGGCTTACTAATGAAGCCATGATAATAGTCGTTATAAGGAGGTTGAGATTCCGAGTCATTGAAGGATATCAGCGATATAAAGGGGTGTGATTTGTTGACTGGGGAAGAAATTCAATTGTCATTTATTAACCAAATTAAATTGATCATGTATGTTTGATATGTTGTGGAGCATATTTCACCATGGTGATTTGAATACACTGTGAATAATATTGTCATATGCATGCGTGCGTCAGCAGTGTTTACCGTCAGTTTCGGAAATATTTTAGTCAAATTTAACCTTGTCCTGGGTATTGAATCGTTGAATAAATTTTAAATGGAGATTAAAGATTGATTAATCCCATGAGTAAAGAGATTTTTCGTTTTGGCTGATATTAAATTCAATACCAACAGTTTTACTGCATTGACATCGGTAGTGAAACTGCGTAGGAACGTTAAAACAGCTTTCTTGAACAGCTGGAATACGCGGTAAGCCTAGTGGTCAAAGGCGACATGATTGAGTCGTTATGACCCTGTAGTGTCGTGTTACAGTTTACCAATCCCATCAATATTTAATATGGAGACCCGGGTTAGAATTGCTCTTCAGCAAGCCATGCTTGTCAAAAGAGGCAACTTATGGGATTGGGTGGTAAGGCTCAGTGTGGTTGATGCATGTCAGCAAATCCCGATTGCGTAGATCGATATGATGTCAATCACTGGGTTGTCTGGTTCAGATTCAGTTATTTACAGACTGTCATAAAGAAGGCAAAATTGCTGACAGCGGCGTTAAACAACAAACAAACAAAAAATAATATGGTAGTGGCAAATATTATTGTTCATGACAGAAAACTAATATTTAAGATTCCTTAGAGTTCAAAATGCCCGGTGTTTGCTGTCAAGTGTTTAAAACATTCTGTGTGAATGAGGGAGTGACTAGTATTTTACGCCGCTGTAAATATTTCACTCACACCATGCTGGACAACATCAAGCTTGGGCGTGGACACGACTTTCGGAAGCAGAGTACTGGTATAATGGTATAACTTGTATAATGTAAAATACACATGGGTACAGCACAGACCCTCCCTTTCCACTCACTAAATATATATGAACATACATACACATATAACAACATCAATTAAATATAGCAACAGTTGCTATGCGGATTAACTGCAATAATCTAAACCCTGTATTCTGACCAATACATAATAAATGCCGTTTTTAAGAGAACGCCGTATCTACGCTTGAAGTGGTGGTTATTGAGTTCACTCGTCAGACCAGGCCACGTTTCGACTGCACACACTGCTCTATCTTGGTGTCCCCTACTCGTAACATTCATTTCATCTCCTACTCCAATTCCATTCACTCTTTAAACCCGTCGGTTCGAAACTTATTATGAACTCCGGGTATCACGAACTTAAAGGTTCACGAACAATGCTGTATCCCTAAACAACACCCTTCCAACCACCGTACACTGCGAGTGAGCGTGAGTTCAATGCCCTATCCCGCCACTGCCTGAGTTTCTTGTTTGTTCACAGGCCGCCGTTGCAGGGCAGGTAAACGGCATGGCGGCGACAGGTGACAAACAGGGCCTAGATTTTCGAAGCTCTCTTAGCGCTAAGGGAGAGCGGAGGGTCGCGGGTTCGATCCCCGACCGCGTCATACCAAAAGACGTTAAAATATGGTACTTGTTGGTCCCTGCCTGGCGCTCGGCGTTAATGGGTACAACAAGGACTGGTCGGCTCGGAGTCAGTATACTGTGTCTGAGTGGGGTATCCATGCTTCACTGCGGCATGGTATCTCAGTGAGCTAGCACTATAAAACCAGCTTAAGTCTGGGCTAGTACAAGCAGCAGCACATACACATACACACGCATGCACGTCGTCATATGAGCGAAATATTCTCAAGCACGACGTTAAACCCAATTTCACCTCCACCTCACCTTAGCGCTAAGATAGTCGTAAGTTAATGTTAGTGAATGTCAGTTACGACTATCTTAGCGCTAAGAGAGCTTCGACAATCTAGGCCCAGGCACTTACTTTTTCATGCAAATTCTGGTATGTTAGTCGTGGGTGCTACTACAGAGCAGGATCTGCTTACCTGAGACACCTGGTGTCATCACACATTTTCAGTGATCCACATTATTTTCACTGCAATTTTCCCTTAACGCCGAAAGGAATCGCTTTAGAGTTGTTCTCTGCGTTGACGTTTTATGTATTATTTGGTCCAACAACTTGAACAGTATTTTCCGTTATCAAGGCATTTCAGTTGGTCTGAGTGAGTGAGTGAGTTTATTTTACGCCGCTTTTGGCAATATGCCAACAATATCACGGAGGGGGGACACCAGCAATTGGCTTCACACATTGTGTCCATGTGGGCTGCGTACCCGGACAGTAGATCCAAGACGTTTCCCACTTCGTCAAACCAATGAACATGGTGCTAACACCCTTAAAATGAACAAAACAAAAAGAATTAAAACAACAATAACACTGACTGACTGAGTTTAGTTTTACGCCGCTTTTAGCAATATTCCAGCAATATCACGGCGGGGGACACCAGAAATGGGCTTAACACATTGTGCCCATGTGGGGAATCGAACCCGGGTCTTCGGCGTGACGAGCCAACGCTTTAACCACTAGGCTACCCCACCGCCCACAACAATAACAAAGCAAAACCATTATAAAAAAAAGAAGAAACTATGATTACCCCAAAAAAATAAATATAAAAAAACCGCCACAACATGATGAGGGTGGATCATGGATGCAAATCCACGTTCATAGGTTCCTAGTTCGACTAAGGGACGCAACCCTGCACGATGACGGTGCCACAGCGTACAGAACTGACTGAGTTTGTCATAGATGAAGCATTGCTATAACGCCGTTTTATGCTAAACTGACTATAGAATGGTCATACAATCTATAGAGATTAATAACGTTCTTTGAGAATAATTACAACGAGCAGCCTATTTGATTACTGTTGATTCCAACAGTCAAGACCTGACAGTAGACAATGGCTGCACCGAATACCACCAGTGACTCTACATACACGGCCATTTTATGTGACCAAATTTCATTACCAGAAACATCATTTCCTCGCTAATCCAAGAATGCTTTCACCGACCCAGCAGGAAGTGGGTTCCTGTAGTCAGATCGGGGACAGACATTTGCGTCAAGGAACTCCAATACATTAGTTATGGAAACGAAACTGTTCGGTCATTTGTGCTGAAGCTAGAACTGCAGTTATTCGGATAGAGTAATAGATTGGGGCACTTTCTTCGGATCGGGTAATGTGATTAGGGACGTTTTAGGGTATATCATGGATGATTGTTATAGCAAATGTCATCATTAATAAACGACTTGGTCTCTGTGTTAAGGGAAAGAAAGAGCACAAACACCCCTTAGGATTGACCCAAATGAGGCAATATATTTAATGGGTACTTGATCACATATGTTCGTATAAGACACATATTGCCTAAGTTTGATTCCACCAAGCGGAACACAGAAACCAGTGGCTGACGGCACGAACACCAATCCAGTCAGTCAGATCACAGGACCTGTCCATCCAATCCACTTTTGTCGTCTCGTACGGAGTATTGTTACCTAGCCTTGGTTTCGAACCTAGCCTACTCCGGAATGATTACAGGGTGGGTGGGATGTAGCCGATGGATCATATCAGGATCTAAACCTTAATAGAGATACGCTTTCTAAGGACAACCAATGGCGATGTCTTAGATAATTTGCCAGGCGACCTGTTTCCTCCAGCCGCCATCTCCAGTGTAACCTACAATTATACATGGTTTCCATTGGCGGGTAATTAGCATAAAATAGAAATTGAAATTGAAAAATGTAATCCTTAACTCACCAACGTTTAACTCCCTAGACTTTAGGCTGTCATAAGTTCGATTACCATGAGACACGTTGACGTACACAAACTCAAGATGCCTTTTAAGCTGGGTTGTTTTGTATTCATATGTTTTGATGATCTATGTCTACGTCTGACATTGTATGATATTTGTATGCATATCAGACTTCTCGGAAATGTTACTTCTTCAGATCTTTCTGCTGCTTTAATCTTTTGCAATATGTGGACTATGATATAAAAAATAAATGCTGGTCCCGTGATTATGATTCTGTGAAAATGTTAGGTCTACATGCTGCAGCGTCGTCGTGGCTGGCTGGCCATACATGGAAATAGAGCAAAGTGAAGCGTTTCAGATCGAGGAAATACATCCGTCAGAAAGACAGAAGCGCGCCCTCCTCTCTTGCTTCATTGAGAAGTAGGGTAGCCTAGTGGTTAAACGTCCGCTCGTCTCGCCGCTGGTGCGGGTTCGATTCGATGGCCCGTGTTCGATCTGACCGCCCGATCCCGTTAGTTTTTTACGATAAGCATGGGTTCCTGAAGACCAATTCTACCCCGGTTCTTCAGGAGAGGACAGGTATAAGAGGAACAGGGGACGGTTAAGGGGAATTGGGCACAGGTAAAGGGTACTGGGGTTAGCAAGGGGTACCGAGGAAACGGGTTCTGAGCAAAGCCAGGAGAGACCTCTCTTCAACCCATAATTTGGACGCGACTTTCAGTGAAAGCGCCCTCTCTCCGATGTACAGCCAGGGGCGGTTACACTGTGTAAGCATATAAACGTGTCTACAAAGATCAGTGTTAGTGCTGGCACTACTCCTGGGGGATGTTGTTGTCAGTCACATCATGGATAACTGTGTGTGATACTCATGGAATGTGACAACATGATGGATGGAATCTAGTCCTCTACTATACGCTTATACATACATACAGATTCATAGTTCCATGGTACATCAACATCTAACTACGTGCCGCTACTGCTACTACGTTGTATTGACTTCTACTACTACCACCACAACCTACTACTACTACTACTACTACTACTACTACAGACTAACGCTTAGTCTCTGAATATATATCATTTTGATAGTAACAAATAAACCCATTAAATTGAAAA